AGGTTCTTGGTGTGTTTACGCACACAATCAGATATGTATGGGAGTGTTTGGGGTTCCTAACCCAAACCCCAAACCCTAACCAGCTCATCGCTCACGCCCCCCCCTGCCTCTCTCACAGCCACCTGCCTCTCACCCCACCTGCTTTTGCCAGGTCAAAATGGCAGATCGAGGAAACGTCGCGGGGATGAGCGGCGTCCAAATCGGACCAGGTGCCACCGCATTTACGCGGATGCCTACACGGTGCCACGTGTAAACAGTGCGCACGTCATTCACTTTCTCAAGGTTCGACATGTACGACATGTACGACATGTACGGCGCATTTTGAGCGTGGAATCTAGTACATGTATATGTGTGATGTATATGTGTGTGTATACATGTATGTATATATTTATCGAACAGCGCACGAAGAAAAATCAAAAGCGAGCAGTCAAAAGCATGGCGCCGCACCCTTGTCCGAGAGCTGTTGAGACAGCGCGCGTGTGAAGGCGATCATGGCGCCCTTCGTGGCCGAGTAGTCGAGCAGGTGCGCCTCTCCCGCGTACGCCGTCACTGAGGCGGTGTTGATGATGCAACCCGTGCCCTCGGGAAGGTGCTTCACGGCAGCCTGCATGTCGTGTACATACGAGTACGAGTGCATAGTATTGCTGTACGGCAGGCGTACGGCAAATATCGTGTTGACGGCAGGAGTTGGACATACGACATACATGCACATGGACACAGAATTGGCGAATGTAATGGCGCCATGATGGTGTGAAGGGGCCATGATGGTGCCTTGATGGGCCTTCCGATGTCCCCCCGTCATTGAGCGAGCACACACACACACGAGCACACACACACACGAGCACACACACACACGAGCACACACACACGCGAGCGCACACACACACACACACACGAGCACACACACACACGAGCACACACACACACGAGCACACACACACGCGAGCGCACACACACGCGAGCGCACACACACACACACACACGAGCACACACACACACGAGCACACACACACACGAGCACACACACACACACACACACACGAGCACACACACACACGAGCACACACACACACGAGCACACACACACACACACACGAGCGCACACACGAGCACACACACACACGAGCACACACACACACACACGAGCACACACACACACACACACGAGCACACACACACGAGCACACACGATGATACCAACAACCGGGCGAGGGTTGATGACCCTCTTCCGTCGCACACACGTAATACCGGTGCCCCGATGCAGGTGTACGGTGCATCCCTTTCCACACACGCGATCGCACCATGCTCATGTAAAATGGCCCCAGGATGTTGGTCTCGAAGGTGGCCTCCATCTCCTCGTCCTTTATGTCGGTGATGGACGACCGATAGTGCTGGATGGCGGCGTTGTTGACCTGCACAGCACAGCGGGGGGGCAGCAGAGTGCAGCCCGAACCACCCAACCGACCAGCATGTGAACGCGGGACATACATACATACATAGTTGCATGCATACGTGCATACTTACATACTAGGGTTTGGCACTACTGGTTACGCGCGGCCATTGCCCCCGGGAGATCCCGGGATCGATACCCGTTGGGTTCATACATCATTCCGAAGGTGGAAGGTATTGCGCCCCCAGGGGGTAAAGTTAACCTGCGAGCCGACCAGGACTGGAGTTGCGCCGCTGTCGACCCGGCAGATTCCGTTGGATGTTGGTGGTGGGTGCGGAACCTGAGCGATCCACTGAGGAGTTGACTAGGGTGACTGGATGAGGGTGCCCCGAAATACCGGGGAAGGCAGGGTTTCGCCGGGTAGCTGCCACGGGCGAAGATACACCCCCCTGTTTCACACATACATACATACTTGCATACATACATACACATGTACACATCTAGTAGTGCGCAGTGTGGTAAAGTGGTGGATATTGCTGTAAGGTGTTCAGTCCTAGATGTTTCAATTCAACAAATGCGGTGCTCAATTGGCCCCCCCGTCCATCTGCCCTGGTGCCCCCGTCATTATGTCGCATCCCCACCACGCCCTTACCTTCATCGCAATACCCCCCCCCCGCCGACCCTGCACCCACAAACTTGGCGCCACTGCGCTTCACATCATCACCGCCATTTCCCTCGCTACGGCTGAGATCAGATCAGATCATTGGACAGGCACTGAACACACCGCCGCGCACATCTCCACCTCGCACATCTCCACCTCGCACTCTTCTCGTTTTTCTTCTGCTCGTGTAACACCCCCTGGGCTCGGCCCCCAGCCACCAACCCCCCCCACACCCCCCCAGCTAACCCACCAGTATGTCGAGCTTGCCCAGCTCCCGAACACAGCGCTCCACCGTCTCGCAACAAGACTGAGGGGGAAAAAAGGGAAAAGGGGGGTAAAAGACGAACCATGAGCGAGTGAAGGGGGTGGGGAGAGAGGGGAGGAGAGGAGAGGAGAGGCGACCCCAACATTTCCTGCAAACCTCTTTTATACATCTTAACACGCAATATCACGGATTAGTCATCAAGGTAATATATTTACCTAGCAAACCAGGCAGTTCATACAATTATATATACAAATGAATACATGAATTCAATTCAATGTAGCAATTCAACATGTATATATAGATGGATGGTTGAAGTGCGTTGAACAGGCGAGGGATTTTTCCATCAATCGGTACGACACGTACTATTCTGTACGAACCTTGTGGTCTCGTACATTGGCCGCCATGGTTACGCAACGACGTCCTTCGCCCTCCACAAGCTTCTTAGTCACCTCCGCGTCCTCGTGCTCGTCCAAGTACATGATGAACACGTCAGCACCTGTGCCGTACATCAGCGCATTTGTGGCGGGGAAGAAAACGGTTCTAGAAACACAATGTCGTTCATGTCATGTCATGGGGCCGTGGGTTGATTTAAATGCGTGGGATCTGTCCAAAGCAAAATCCTTGGATTTTCGAGTGTGAAACTTTAAAATTATGTCGGTTCTCGAATAGTTTATAAACTATTACTTGGTCAACAGGAGCGAAACCCCATTCACACAGAAACACAAACAGAAACACAAACAGAAACACAAACACAAACAGAAACAGAAACAGAAACAGAAACACAAACAGAAGCACAAACAGAAACAGAAACATGAACAAAAACACAGAAACAAAACAATTAAAAGAACCGGAATAGGAAATTCCTATGAAGGAGATATGGGGGCTGTGGGCCGATGAAACTCTGGCCTCCCTCCTCCCCTTCCCTCCTCCCCCTCCCTCTTCCCTCCCCCCTTCTCACCCTCTCGCGCAAAGTGCACCGCCACAGACCTCCCGATACCGCTGTCGCCCCCCGTAATGAGCGCCACTCGGCCCAGCAGCTTGTCAGCACCCACGTACGACTCCCGGATCACCTCCGGCTTAGTCCACATTTCCGCCTCGATACCCGGCTGGTACGTCTGTATGTCGTTCGGTGGCGAGGACGGAACGAGTTGGCGCAGTTGGTGCGTTTACACCAGTGTGCGCAGACGAGAGCGGAGAGAGAGCGGGGAGAGAGGTAAGAGAGAGGGAAAAGAAAAAATATGGGGAAAGATGTACATACAGATAGACAACACAGAACTGAGAAGGAATCACCAGAGTTGACAACACAGAGTTGAGCTGTTCAGGCGAATGCCCGACATGTATCGACGTGTTTCGACGTGTATCGACGGATCTACTTTATAATTTTGTGCTGTATTAAGTGTTGTGCACGCAGACTATCAGCTGCACAGGCATACACAAACCATGTCGTACATAGCGTACACTCACGCCCTTCCCTCCCAAGTTTTTCTCTTTTCACACACACACACATACACAACACACACACACACACACATACATGCATACACGTACACACACGCGCAGTTGGCGAACCCCCATCTCAAATTCGTGCAAGTATTCTTACACACGCAACCAAGACATACACATACACACACGCAACCAAAACACACACCCCTACGTGGAACCCCCCCCTTCCCCCCCCCCCCGAACACGCACTCGCCCACCTGGCCTTCCGGCATGATGGGGATGTTGTCCTTAATAGCCTGTATTCGATCAAACCAAAGCGGAACAAAAAACCAGTCCATCTCAGATTAGATCAGACCAAAGTGGAGATTGGACCCATGCCATGTCGCTTGTACGGCATTCTTACCTGTACGGCATGTTCGGCGCTCTCGGCCACGTTTGCGGCGGTCGCCATTACCTTCTCCTTGGTGGTCCTCATGGACTCCTGAACGGATGCAACAACCTGCTTGGCCTATTGCAGCGCCGTTCGCCGTTTCGATGATTCGATGATTCGATGATTCGATGATTCGATGATTCGATGATTCGAATGGATGAATGGATGAATGGATGCCAAGACATGCAAGGGGGTGAGGGACAACGCTTCAGCGCCCTGCTGAACGGAGAATAATAATGAGGACACGCCATACATTCTATTTCACAGATGCGCAGTGTGATAATATTGTTATAAATTACCTTGTAGGATTATTATTGTGTGCAACGATAACATTACCATTTTTTGGGGGAACAGAAAAAAATCAAATATTGAATACTGTCATGGAGAACTCATGATCCAAATTCGTGTATCAGGACTGCTGCACTTTCAAACCTTGTAACCTTTGTAAATGGGATGACAGGGAGGTAGGAATCTTAACAATGCGTTAGGGCTGCGGCCCTCAATCGTGATGTTTCAAAATGGTAACAGCCTCTCATTAGCGCGCAGACAAGAAAGCGCGACCCGTGGGTCCTTCTGGGCCATATTTTCCCTTTTTCCATCTGTTTTGCATAGGCGTCCATAACGTCCTGGTCACAGCATAAGTTCAGCTCGCTCAGCGCGACTCCCCTTCCCGTTGGCCTAAGCGAGGAGGCTACATAGAAACCGTTTGCTTCAGGAACCGTTTGCTTCAGGAACTATTGCCACGATGTACTCGCGATGCTGCAGCGATCGGAGCGTGAATAAACAGATCGCGGCGCCAACGTGCGGCACCCTTCTTTGTTTGCCGCTTTCCTATCTCTCGCGTCTTTGCACACAAAAGTGTTCAAATTCTGAATTTCCGAGATTTTAGCTTGTTCGCTTGTTCACCTGCGGAGGCGTTTCGTATGCAGCCAAAGCTTTCTGGCCCCCAGCACAGCTGTAAACTGCTGTGCGCTCGCTCATCATAACGCCCGACCCTTCCCGGCAAAAGAACAGCAGTTACCCACCGTCTCCATGGTTGCTTGAAACGTCCTGAAGGGGATGAAGAAGAGGTCAGGAGCACAGAAGATTTCAACTATTCTTTTCGGGCCGGCAGAGCAACCTTAAGTCAACCTAAAACGTTTTCCGATGTGAGAAGTTCTTACACCGATGAGAGCAACGTGGAGTATATGGTACTTTGTCAGCTGGATTTCTCAAAACTTTGAAAAGCTACGAAGTGCTGTACCTAAGTCGTGATTGTTGCAAATATTACGCAATCACCGCGTCAGTGTCCGTTGAGGCCGTTGTTTTCGTTGTCGTCTGACGTCATACGGAACAAGTAACTAGGGGGGCGGCTTTTCAAAGCCGAAAAGGGGCTCGGCCCCGGTGCAGCCACTTGCTCCCTGGAACTCGGAGCCATGGAAAGCTATCTTTGTCGCCTCCGATTTATCTGGAATTTCTCCTTTGGCAGGTGGATGTAGAATAGATATAGCATTCAAACGCTATTTTTTGCGGGGCGAGATATGTAAGCCACTGACTGACTGACTGACTGACTGACTAACTGACAGCAGTGAACCCGGGGGGCTCGGCCCCCCGAATGGCGCTTCGTGCCCGGGGCCTCGCCCAAAAATGTTTATTCCTTGTTGCTGAACTCAGCGCCAGCCTCTTCAGGTACATGTACAAGGCCACAAACTTTATAACCTTTACTGGCAGTATGACCCGATATGTAGTCACCCGATACGTAAAAAGGCTACTAAACGATCGATGGGTCTGACGGCGATGATATATTCTTGCACATCCCGCGCACTCAACAAGAACACATCTAATTATTGCCTCTATTATGAATCAATCTACGCGCTCTCAGCTCTGCTGTAATCAGTATCTTTTAATAATTCGCACAAGCTTTGCCACCGCGCAAATAGGCACCCTGGTAATCATAACACATATAAAATAAGGAAAAGCATGAGAAAACAGCAGGGCGCCTGATAACAAGCGCGGCTTTATGTAACCAACGCCCCATGAAGCCTTCTGTAGTGACGTCCTATAATCCGTTTGTTGCGTGAGTTGCATGGAGCATAATTCCAGCCATCTTATGGGAGTTTTATATTGCAGCATCGACAACCTAGAATGGAAAAAACCAAAAATACTGCCCCAGTCTGTCCCCACACTGCCCACACTGCCCACACTTCTCGGAACGTTCTCTCCGCCCGCCCTCTGTTGGTGGGTAAGCCTAGCACCTGCCCCCAAAAGTAGATAGCATGTATATCGCGCGGTAGGGGGAAGGGACCTAGGGCGAAAACCATTATATCAAGTGTGAGGAGCGGTAAGCGCTCGAGCAGGGGAGCTTGGCATGTCGGCCGCAGCGGATGGCGGCAGGCCAACCAGCACGGCCCATCTGCGGAAGATGCAACATCTCAAAAATATCTTAAGCTCTAAATAAGGTGATATGCTGTCATTATCCAGTAGGATTGCAACGCGGCAAAGAAACGCAGCCGGAAATGTATCGATTTAAGAGCCGGCGGTTGTGCCAAGAAGGCAATAAGAGTCATTAGCAGTTATACATAGTTAGTAGCGTGTGTGTGGTTGTTACAGTGGGCTCCAGACTCCCGAAGAGTAGAGCCATCGGGCCAGCTGGCCGTGCACTGCAGTAGAGACTAATATACCAAAAGATTATCATCTCAGATAATTAACCTCTCATCGGTAACCGCTCTCGCGAACAAATCAATTTGCCAGATATAATCCTCAAAAAGGGGTGATGTGCGCCAACGGATTCCCAACCTTTTCGTGGAATTCCTAAAGCTGCGAAACCCTGAATGCGGCCCCAAAAATCAACAATAACTCGACAAATTGCTTCTTCCGTAAGGGAAGGACCAGGTAACAGTGCCGGGTTGGTTTTCATGTTTGCAGCCATATAACGTCTCCCATGCTCCATGGCTGACACCGCAGCAAGAGCCACAACATCCCAAACACATTGTTGCACTGATTGTGGGGCTTGGATAAGCCAAAGTTGCTCCCTTGAGACTGGCAATCCTATTGAAAGAGTAAGTTGGTCTGCTATTGCCTGTGCCACCGGACAGGCCCAGAAATGATGATAGCGAGGGGATACACCTCCCACTGAACCTATTGGATAACCTCCACAACCACATATCGTTGGGCGCGACATCCTAAGATGGGAATTTCCTAACATAGGCACCCCATCAACCGCAAGACGCCACCAAATCTCTTTTTGTTCATTTTCCCACCGTAAATGAAACCATAAACGATGGAATGTCCGTTGCAAAAGAAAAATAGCTTCATCCAATATCTCAGAAGAACCCGTCGCCTCTTTGATGAAAAGGGTATGNGGCCACACGGCGAGCCATCGAAAAAGGTGA